TAGTGATAAAAACAGAATAGACGTGGCGAAGACTGGAGCTAGTTGGCTGACAGTATGTCTAATTTTACCATAGTCGTGATCCATTTAGGAAAGCCGTGACCACGAGACTTACTCAGAGGCTTTATCCTCGAATTGGTCACCTAGACGCAGGGTAGGGCCAATAACGCTTCGGGTGGCACAGATGGGGTGGCAGGGGTCGAGTGAAATACGTGAACCAGGGAGAGAGTAGACGGATCATACGAGGCAAGAGAGAGAGATTGTGATAAGACCTAGGGAAGGAGGACTGCGTAAAAATATGGCAGACTGATCAACATTCCCAGAACAAGGGTGAAGGGGTTGAGAACGCCATCGTGGAGTGTAGAGGGTTTTCGTGAATGCCGCTCAAATGAGCACATCAAACTACATCTAAATAACCACGGTAAAAATTGTATCAGTGAAGGCGTGATAGGAGGATATAGGAAATGCGAATAGTCCATAGCAGAAGGGGAGATACCACAACTGTCTAGCACACGTTTAGTCAAAGTATTGGCTTCACTTGCCTCTTTGACGAGTTGTTGTGTGGTGCAATGAATGGCGAGACTCATTGACGATGACGGCGAAACGTTTGGGATTGTACCACGTCCAGGATCCGACTTTGGAAATGATGATGCATACAATGGACTCCGGACTAGGTGCGTTCCTTTAAGTCTTCCTACCAATAAGAGCAAGTTGCGAAATCAAGCTCTAACAACCTCTATACAACGAACGAATACACACAAAAGGCACACTTTCTTGGTCTTCATACCTTAATTTTAAGGCTAGCTAGGCCTCTCATATATTACATCTTTTGGTGGGATTGTCGATTATGTGAACAAACGCTGAACTATTTGGGTTCGATTTTCGTTAGGCGCTGCTGAAACAGGCACCGTTGAAACTGCATTTCATCCTACGTGAGCATGCCTTTTTGAAGACAAGGACTCATTAAATTTACTGGCATCGGGATGTCCTATCGTATTATTATTACTATATCATTCCCTCATCATCTTGTGCTTTCGATTTAAGATCTGTTAGTTTCAAAACCTATTTACTTTGAATGGAGAAATTTTTGATCGTCTTTTTCCTATTCCTCAATTATCCTTAATATTAAATATCATGCATATCTTACTCTGCCCCGGTTATTTGGATCACTAAAAGTGATGCCCCATTACTACATACCTTGCATACCTTGCCACGCTGCTATTCGCTCTCGTCATCTTATGTTTACTTATAGCTTTTTTCTACTAGATTATCTCCTTTGATTCTAATTAATCCATTGAATTAGCAGGTTTATCTATACCTATTCACCGAGTTGGGTATAGCTTATGATCATGGGTCATTCCAAGTACTAAATTGATTTATATAAAGATCTTTTTCACTGTTCGAACTCGCCTTTACTATCATTTTTGTCGTTTTTTAAATTTTTGTCGCAGATTTATTTGTTTCGTTTATTTTTTAAATGTATCTGTATATTTTTATAGAACTGGAAATTGTCAACTACAATTTGACACTAGTGTTGGTTTGACCTCGCTTTCGTACCTTTGTCCTAGCGTCAGTGAAACTGTCGAATGTACCTAGTTCTGCGTCTCCTCTGCCGTAGTATTCATCATTTCTACCATAGGAACTTTGTCTTGGTACTTTCTCAGACGCTGCGCCGGCATCATCAGTGATAGGTGCCACCATAAGCACAGAGTTACAACTTATCGAAATATCAAGACGTCAAACCAACATTATAAAGCTAAAGGAGACTGCGACTAGACAGAAGGCCCATCATCTCAATTTTATAGCTACAATACAATTTTACAAGTG